AGAAAAAGCTTATAATTATGCAGAAAAACTTGATAAAGAACAAGAATATCATAAAGCATTTACTATTTTTAACCAAATTTCTCAAAGAGATGACTCTAAGTTCCAGAAAAATGCATTACATATCAAAAAGAAAGCTTTAGATAAGGTAGAACAATATAAAAAGATGGGTATATTGTCAAAATATAGAATTGGTTAAAACAATTTAGAAATATTGAGTTAAATTGTATGTCATCACTTCTTTTAATATTTCTTATCATACACTTTCTAGAATAAAAATAAAATTGTAAAGTTAGCACTTTTTATTAATTGACTTTCCAAGTTACGCTTATACAAAAAATTTAAAATGTTATCGTGTAAACGTAAAATGCGGAAGTCCATAAAGCACTAAACTAGATAATAGAATGTGAATGATACAAAAACAAAAAAATCAATTCAATTGATTAAATTAAAAATTTTATAATTTTAACTTGGAGTTGTTCAATTGTTCAATTAATAAAATTTTATTTAATAAAAACCTAAATTATATTGATAATTATAAAGTCAGTGACAAGTGAAAATAGAATATTAAAGATTGTGATAAATTTAATGAAATTTATTAATGACTTTATTTTAATTAGCTTTTATTATATACTGTTAACTTTACAATTTTATTTTTATTCTATAAAGCGTATGATACGAAAATATTAAAAGAAGTAATAACAATACAATTTAAATCGATACTTCTAAACATATCGGCGGATTTTTGGAATTTTTAACAAAATCCGCCGATATGATTGTTTTAACTAATTCTATATTTTAACAATACATCTGAAACTATTAATAAGCATTTTTAAAAAGTTAATGAATTCCAATAATTTCGGATGGATTGAATCGATTAACTATAACTAAGTATAACCAATCAATTAGCATAGCTATGTTTGCATAACTATGGCCCCATCTCAAAGGAGAATCCACCGGGCACCATTTACGCATATTAGTTGTTTAGCAATTATCTCGAAAACTTCTGCAAAATTTTCGTTCTGCGATGGAAAAAGTGTTGTATTTCCTATCATTATATTAATTTTGAGAGTTCAAAATTTGAATTTTCAAATACTAATGTTTTAACAAATAGAATAATAATGAGACTACTAAAACAATTTGAAATTTCATTTTTTAAATTAATTTAAATTCTTATTTCTTTTAAAAAATAATTCCCCACAAAATTGGCTAAATTATAATTTGTCAGTTTAATACAATAAAAAAAAAACTTAATGTCAATATAAATGAAAACAAACAATTTAAAGTATTATTACTAAATTGCTTTAACTAATTATATATTTTTAACAATACATTAGAAACTATTAATATTATAAACTTTTTTTAAGAAAGAATAAATATATTAAAATGAATTCTAATCATTTCATTTCGATTGAAGAATCTGATGTTTTTCAAAATATTGAACATAATAATGGAATAACAGTTTTTATCACACAAGGTTACTCACCAATTCTTATTCATGAAGATGCTACAAAAAAATTGAAAACAATCAAGGAGTTCCCAGATCTAAATCTACGTGTTCCAGCATTGATCTTTC